TTCCTACGCTTTGAGTCAAGCTTTGTTGAGCTTTGTTACGGTTTGTTAAGCTTTGATACGCTCTCGGCGCTTCAATCAATTCGTAACAGAGCGCCCAAAATTTTTAAACAGTTTAACATTTTTTGGCGCTCTTGCCGAATATCCCGCTTTACTCCGAACTTTTCTACGACCTATTACGATCCCGACGCTTTAATCAAGCTTTGTTACGCTTTGGTGCCGCTTTACAATCCGCTTTAAAGCGCCATCAAAGCGCCGTTGGTGCGAACGCTTAAACAGTTTAATTTTTTTAGCGCTCTTTACTCCGAGTTTTTTTACGACCTATTACGACCCCGACGCTTTAATTAAGCTTTGTTACGCTTTGGTGCCGCTTTACAAGCCGCTTTAAAGCGCCATCAAAGCGCCGTTGGTGTGAACGTACCATTAAGGACATAACTAAAAAGTGCCTTGATTGATGCTCTCTGTAATACTAGAATACTATTTCAGTGAACACGATATTTCACAGTTTACCTAATCATGTGAGGATTATTTCCATCATGATATCAAAACGCGTTCCAATATTATGCTAAAACTTGATTTTAATAACCGGCTTTTTTATTATGCAAAATTGACTAAGGCTATTTTCTTGAGATTTCACCCATTGCCTTGAGACAGTATAGCTATACTCTATAAGCAATGCTAAAACCTAAAGATTGACTAGTAATCCTCTATAAAAAGTTCTCAACAATGAACTGGTTTATCCGACTAAGGTGACTACAAATATATATAGAGCAGATGGTTTTGGGTGAGTTGGCAATTTGATTATTGAGTTTGACGCCATATTGCTGTCCGCCATTTTGATTTCTTCTTCCCAGAATTCCCAGCGGTCGGCCATCTTTATTTTTACGGAAGTGACGTCATTTTAAGAAGTAATTCCTCCTCCGAGTAATTAAGGCTCTTGTCTAATCTCAGTTTGATTGATATTCGAGAGCCATATCTGCTCCGAGGACTCACTGCTCCGAGTGATTACTCCTCCAATTATTATAAGTGTTATATCTCCTCCGAGTTATATTTGTTCCGAGTAGTTACAGCTCTGTCTAATCTCAGTTGTGATTGATATTCTAGAGTTGTATCTGCTCCGAGGTTTGCCAGCTCCGAGTGCTTACTCCTCCATCGATTCTAGAGTGGAATTTGCTCCGAGGGTTGAGGATACAGCTCCGACTAATCTCAGTCTAATGATCGATATTCGTGAGTTGCTCCTTCTCCTCCTCCGAGTTATTGATGATCCGAAATTGATACAAGTTGCTTAACTTGACGCATCCTCCGAGGTGATTTGACTCCTCCAGAAGCTAGGTACTGAGGTTACACTACCGGACCCAAAGTATCCCTGGGTTGCAAGGTTTACTCCCATTGGAGCCAAGGTTACTCTACCGGAACTAAGGTACTCCACGATAGAGAAGTGGCAGCTCTGGTCTAATCTCACCATTTGATTGACATTTCAGAGTTGTTATTTCTCTGTAGAAGTTGTAGTGGTCTCTCTTGTGAAGTGGTGACTCCTTGAGCAGAAGTTACTCCAGAGCCTGGACTCCTTCCAAGAGACAGTGTGAGTAGAGGTTGAGAAGAGATTACTGTGGTGACGAGGTTACTATAGAGACGAGAAGACTCCCGGTGCGGAAGGTACTCCCAATAGCCAGGGTTGCGTTCAGGAGCAGAGGTTTCCCCTGAGACGAGACAACTCCTGGAGTGGAAGGCACTCCAATAGCTAGGGTCTCGTACAAAAGAAGAGGTTTCTCCTGTGAAGTGGCGACTCCCCGAGCAGAAGATACTCCCGGAGCCTGGACCCCTTCCACGAGACAGTTTAATAGAGATAAGAGAACTCCCAGAGACGAGGTTACACTTCCAGAACCGCGATACTCCTGGAGCCCTGATTCCTCCGAGGTGAGACGACTCTGAGGGACATTGTGGTGCATATTAGTTGGAGCATTTATAACTTGGGTCTAATCTCAGAGTATTGATTGACATTCCCGAGTGGTTCCTCCTCCATAGATATCACATTGCAACAGTGATATAGACGAGACGATACCTAGAGCAGAAGGACCTCCTAGAGGGTGAAGATAGTTCATAGGAGCAGATCCTCCTCCTTTTACAATTATTCAAGAAGGTGTTATTAGAAGAGAGAGAAGACTGGAAGAAGCTGAAGTGAACAATTACAGAGACATTCCAGTTCTATATAGACATTTTGAAGTTATTTGTACTATTATTTTACGTTGGAATAGATTATAAAATCCCTGTATACCATTGTTGTTATATTGCCATCTTTGAAAGGTAACTGCCGTACCACCAAACCAGGTCGGCACCCGTGTATAACATCTCCAAGATCCCTTATATCGTCTCTGGCCTTTCCTGAAGTTTGCATACAGGGTACTCCTTGGAAACGTCCCGGCGCGACAATAAAGATACGTCTAAGGCCCTATTGCATTAATCACGTATTAAGATAATTAATGGTATAAAATTTGGTGTGGAAATGCACATACACGTAGGGCATCTAAAATCACAAATGTTCGAAAAAATATTGAAAATCCGTTTATTGCTAAAAAGTTCACGTTTGGTTTGAATCACGAAAATATGTGGCGTGTCATGTTAGCTCTTCAAAATATCTTTAATTTTTCCCGTAGTTTTGCTGTGTCAATTTTGGTTTAATAGAGCTATTTTACTTACTTAACGGGTAAGTTGATTTGAAAAACGATTATCGATAATATCGAAAATAGAGGATCCGTATCGATTAATCGAATCGGAGGTGATTTCTAGCGATTATATCGGTGCATCGAGCAATCGTGGGATCCCTATGTAGCAGCGATTGAAGAGACTTGTGTCCGAGGTTGCATTTCACAATCAAGAACGGTCGTGTACTTTGTTCCGCGCGATTCATTTCCAGCGTACACTCACAGTCGGTTGGGCACTCATGCAGAATGGCAGCATCGTGATTTAAACTGTCTGCTGAAGTCTCTCCAAATGATATCAGAATGAGAATGCATATCAGAAACGTTGCCATGGAAGCCTGTGGAGATTTTCTGAAAAAATTAAAATACCTATGTCTTAGTTTACAAAATCAAAACAGAGAAGTCAAATGTCTTTCATTATTCGAATCTTGGCGGTTTTCAAGTGAAGGCATTAACCATTTAACCTCTTTGCCCGTTCGCGTAACGAAAAAGTGCTTTCTTGCACTGAGGCTATCTTATCTTGACTTGTACAGATAACATTTTCCAACAATTCAAAGAACGGCACCGATGATCTAAAATGGTCTAACTGTGCCTGCACAAATATGATAATGAATTATTCTAGCATTCATATATCATAAAATGCCAAGGAGGCGATTGGCGATCCTACAAATGAATTTAAGATATGAACAAATTTATTGTCTATCAAAATATTGTGCATATTTATAAAGCAATGAAATACCTTACCTGAAGGCCATCATCATGAAAATATACTTTTGCTTTAGTTACATGTACCTCTCTTATATTTATATATAAGCTACTCACCCATGAAATAACACATGATGTCATTTCTCTTTAAAATAACTTCCTAGTAATAATCAATAGAAAATATGGTTTCTGTTATTTCAAATGCGCCGTGCATTAACCGAGTTCGTGAGTACAAAACATTACTATACTCACAATAAATTAAAGGGGCAATAAGGACTAGTGAGATTTTTTTACTTTTTCTGAGCTATCGGCCGGGGGCAACATTTGGCTTAACATCTTCTTTGACATACCTATTTTCTTAAAATGTATGGATAAACTATCAATTTCAGCATTAAGAAGTGTAAATTCAGTTCGAAGCTTCAATAAAGGGAATCCCACTTATAGATTTTTACGATCCACCACCTTTAAAGAGGAATATCAGCTGATATAATGTTCATCCAGGGGGTTTCTTTGCAGATTATAAATTTATGTTAGTCTTGAATCTTGATGAAGTATCCAAACGTATCGTATCGTTTAAAAAAGGTGGAACAAAAATAGGGAAATTTTATATTTGAGGTACTCCCCTCTCTAATAGTTTGGCAATGGCAACTTCCTTCTTTGCAATGATCAGAGAATATATTTTTGTCGTTTAAATACCTAGTTTAATACAGAGATGGCGTTTTGGCAAACTATAAAGCTTTAATCATGTATAGAATATTTTAAGTGCTCTTCAGTACATCAATGCAATTCAATTTAATGCAATGCAACGCAAATCAATTCAATGCAATTCAATTCAATGCAATGCAATTCAATTCAATGTAACATAGAGGGTATGTCAGTGCATTTTTATATGCCACGAAATGCTTATCATGTATATTAATTGTAGTAATACACCATATGACACATTTTTCATTTATATTGAAACATGTTACATTTCACGTAGTATCGATAGGAAGGTCTTTCAGAACATTCTATCATTTCTCAGACTACAAATAACAGTGACATGGTAATCCGGTATATACTCTCTCGTTAATGAGCGTTTTAGTTATTTAAACAGGAAGTAATGAAGCTGATTTCATTTAAGTGGTAATCAAAGAAACAGTAGATACTATACTTCCCAAATCTCCGACAATGACACGTTAATAATAGATCGCGTGATATTTCCCTGTGAAACAGGTAAATTATATTCAATTTTGTTTCATTTTACAAAACACCAAGTAACCAAAGGTATGTTAAATAATGTAGCGCTGTATTTTGGGATTTCGTTCGGTGTATTAGCTAGCTATATTCTGCATTCTGTAGAATAGGGACGAACACTACATTATAAATTTTAAGAGATTTACTTGTTTTGAGATTAAATCGCTCGTAGAGTAACATTTTTACAATATATCTTCTAACTTTAATTACATTCATGTGCAATTTTACGTTAATTGAACATATTATGTCCATATGATTTGTATCCTCCAACAAACGGTCAATACATTCAATTTACTAAGAAACTAGATATAATTGAGGATTTATAGAATAATAATTTAAATACTACATTGGATTAGTTTCTTTCCCAAAATAATTATTTGAAATCGTATTTGTGCATAGCTGAAATCTTAATGTTTGGAGGATACAAAATATCGGACATTAAAACCTAAATTAACCCCAAAAATAACTATGCTTCGTCAATGTCTGTCTTTTAAAAGGTAACACCTATGGGCACTCTCTAGCGAAACATTCAACAAATTATGCATCACCAACATATCGACATCGTTGTTTTAACCAGTATTATGGAGGATACAAAGCAAGACATATTAGATCATCATATATCAAATGATCTATTCTTGTCATTAAGTTTAAGTTTCAATCTTTCCCAAAAATCATGCGTTTCCCATTGAATATAAGTCTTCTGCATTAGAAGCCGCTTCAAAGTGGACGTCATATTTGGATGTCGTAAAAGACCCTCAATAGGATCTAACACTACTGCTATAATGATATCAACGCCTTTGTCAATCATCATAGAGTATGCCATCTGGAGTTCGAAATGAGTATAATTGCTATTAAGGTATTTTTCTGAAACGACAATGATTGTTTGCCGGCTACTCTGGATGGCATTTACAATATTGTCTAAAATAAATTCACCAACTACAAAGTCCCTGTGGTGAATACACAATTTAAAGTCACCAGTATCTTCAATATTTTTGCAAAGTTCATTACGTATCCAATTCAAATCATCATTTTGAAAAGACACAAAGGCGTCATATTTGATTTCATGTCCCTCGATATATCTTTTGTACCTATATCGCTTCCAAAGTTGTTTGAATGCAAAGTTCCAGTAACGTATACGCCATCTATAAAAGTGAATCAGCTTCGTTGTTATGGCGATAACAATACCCAAAGATACAAATCCAGCTACCAACTTTGCGATTAATATATTTGCATAATCGCAAATAGTCCTATAATGGTTAGTGTCGAGATTGGAGATTCGATAGGTGGCGTCATCTTCCGAAAAGAAGCATTCGTATTCGTCATAACTTTTCAAAAACGGTTTTGTTTCTTTGAACCATTTTAAATATTCACTACTTTCAGATTTGCAGCTGCACATAAAGTTGTTATCGGTTAAGTCGACGTGAAATAGTTCCCCGTGTTTGTTAAAAAGTGAATCAAACGTCTCACGGTTCCCTGCTGACAAGCTGCGTAATTCATTATTTGATAAATCAAAAACTATCATCCAAGGGTTGTGATTAAAGTTCACATGAAATGATACTATTTTATTTCCACTAATGTTGAGCTTTCTCAAGTTAGCAAGACTTTTAAACATATCAGATGGAAGAGATATAATATTATTGCTACTGAGATCAAGCTCTTCAAGTTTTGGGAGTTGAGAAAATGTTAGTCCATCTGTGTCGTTGGATAAACATCTACCTAGATTGTTATTGCCGAGTAACAAAACACGAAGAGACGGTAGGAAGTAAAATGCGTCTCTGGCTATATCCTCACGAACACCAATCAGATTGTGGCGCATGTCCAACTCCTCCAATTGATTGAATCCTTTTACAGGGCCTCTGAATATCGGAATGTTTGCATTGGCGACATTTAGTTTTCTCAAAGAATTTTCAGCAAAACAAATTCCTCGTTGAATTTCAAGACCAGGTCGAAAGTTATCTATTTTTATCTCGACCAGATCTTTTGGCAATGGAAAACTGAATGGAGAGCAGTACGGGTCGATGGCAAAGTCCTTTACAGTATTGTCGGAGTTTACTTTATCCCCCTTAGCAATTGCTTCATCAAGAGTACGTCCAATTTTAGATATATCTAAGTCAGTTGTATTAATACTTTTCTCACGTTGTTCTCTGAAAACAGGGTGGTCCCCTTCGGTATTCGGGTCGCCATCATTAAATGTATCCCAATAAAAGTTCTGGTAACTCAAAATGAGACGTTTGAGTTTAGTGAATTTTATTATATCAAAACCAGCTCGATAATCACCAATAATGTTGTTTTGGGCAATGGTGATGTATTCAAGATGGGGCAGCATGTTGGACAAACCGGCATAAATTAGCGATATCCAGTTGTAGCTTAAGTCAAGAGATTTTAGATTACTTCCGTGTAGACATTGCAGATATCTAGGTAAAAAATAACTCGAACCTTTGTACTCAACTTTGTTAATGCGATGAAGAATCAGTGTTTCGATTGTCGCTTTGTTAAGGCCGCAAAGAGCTTTTGGAACATCCGACGTAGATATCCTTAAAGACAGTCTGGGACAGCCCCACAGCGATAAATGCCGTAGGTTTCTCAAAGGGCAGAAAACACAGGCTTCCAACGTTACTAATTTCATGTTGTCTTTCATGATAAGTGTCTCCAGCGATGCAAGACCATAAAACGTATCGTTCGATAATTTGGAGATCTCAAAGGATACAATTTCCAGTACTTTTAAGTTTATAAACCTCTGAAAAGACCCGGGTGTTATGGATCCTACCCTCTTGTGTCCTCCATTTACGTATAAATGGGTTGTGTTAGCTAGAACATTTTGTAAAACCGAGTCGAGTGGGGTTTCTCCAAGACTGCATTTTACGACCACCAATGTTCGTGTTGTATTTCGTTTCACATGATCAGTTCTCAGCTCACAATCACATTCGACTGGGCATTCACCCAACTTAGCTGCAATCTGATTTAAAGTTTCAACGCTGCCTGTAGACTCCACAATGGCTATGCAAATACATAACAATAGCGGCATAAAAGACCACTGTGCATGCTTCCTGAAATGATAAAATGAAAAATGTATCAAATGTTAGCATCAGAGTGTTAAATTGCTTCATAACGAAGTGTTCTGTGTAACACCTCAAAAATCCTTTGTTTGGAAGCTTCTTTTGTCAAACCTCCCAACTGACATATTTTAACCTTCCCAATCTACCCTGCGGTGAAGAATATAGAAGGGTTATGTACCGGGGGAGACTTTGGATATAGGGTTTATCCAGAGGGAGACATGCATATATACCTGAGGGCCCGTAGAGACGGAAGGTAGATGCGCATATCTCATGAAGGATAAACCCCTTCTCCAAATCGACCGTACATCAGCTTTATCCTATGGCCCAATTCTTATTCTTCATATTTTCAATTTTTTGATCTCATACCTTGCGTGCACAGTCTAGTTATAAACTACGCAGACGAAGCTCTCCCGACTACTGCCCCCCCCCCCTCTATCCATTTTGTCCGATCACCGGGCGCGATAGTAGGCCATGGCATAACACATCAATATTTATTTCCTAACTAGTAACACTATTATTTCACTGATCAAATATTTTACCTATATTCCATGTTTTCTTGAATCTACATTCCACTCGTCCTCATGGCAGCTACACTCGTTGTCATGGCAGCTATGAAATGATGTCGGGTAAACAGAAACCTCAAGACCAGTGATTCATTTTTGTTTAAAATGAATCACATCCTTCTTCTGAAAAACGATCTTAATATAATTTTGCGACTTATTTTTATGCAAGGTCTTTTTTTATGTTCCAGATCTTTTTTTATAAGATTGGTGCATTTCTGAGTATTCCGTTTAAACCTTAACTGTTAACAACACTAGTTTAAGATGTATATGCGTGTGAAGCATATGTTCCCTTAATGAATATTTATTTGTTTATTTGTTCGCACAAACACCATCATGGACACTTAGCGGGATATAGCAGCGTCTTTAGAGCTAGGGCCACCATCAAGACGTTTGTTGTGGTAAATCTGGTTACTAGAACGACTTGCACATTTTCGCTGTGATCAAATTTCACTCTGCTGAACCAATGGGAGGGGTTAACGTTTTAAACAGTATTTTTTCAGTTTCTTCCTCTCATAAGTTCAATTTGACCTTGTATTTTCATAACTTGATAATTTGGGCATCATTCCCAAAGTTGAATTAGATAGATGACATTTCTTGAAAAAAGGGAAGCAGAAACTTCATGTAACGATGAAAGTGTTTACATTAAGATAGCTTCATCAATGCATTCTGGACCATTTCCTCCTTTCATGATCCTCTAGAAGCTCATGTTTACGTGAAGATGGCGTCATTTTTATAAACAAGGATATTTCCTCCTCTTGACTGATATAGTAAAAATATGGGTGGGTGGTAAAATAAGATGTCTAGACTAAAGGAAATATGCGTTAACCCGAGGCCCGGGAATTCAGTTATAAAATGTACAGAAGTAAAGTTTCTCGTGTTACATCCATCATTTGTTCATCTTTATGCATGTGTAAGTAATAAGTATGTGTATAGTCAATGGGGTTTTAAGGCCCCATCTAAAGTTTGAAAATATGTTCTTATCATTCATTTACTCTTTTTATGACTTTAAAAGTTATTTAAGAGATTTTTGAAAAATATGTTAAGGGGAAAAAAGTTGTCAGATCTTTATTTTTCAAAACTAGAAATTTCCCGCCATTTTTTCAAATAAAGTTGAAATTTTTCAATCATTAAATATTCGACTAACATATTACCTTTAAATCCACTGTGAAGATTAAACAAAGTACGTACTATATGAATAATAAAATGTCATACCTAATGTGCCACTTAAATGTTTTAGCATATTAAAAAACGAGTGCACCCTAAATGACATCATGGTGGTGTCATTTAGGATGCAAAAATGTTCTGAAAAAATGTTATCAATTTTTTTCTAAATATGCTTAACTTTCAAAATAAACCAATGTTGATTGTCTAACTAGGTTGAATTAATACGAGTATTGTGTTTTAGATATTATTGTACCATTAGTTTCTATGAGAACTAAGATTTTGAAATGCATTTTTCTCGGAAACACATTCATGCATGAATGAGTTCGTTTCCCCCTAATTTATCAACTTATTTTCTTAATTTTTTCTGCAAAAGACACGTGAGGATAAATGCTATACATGGGTGGGTATTATTCCGTATTAAAATATATTTGTGAGCTCTAAAATTTAGATTTTAATAAATTCACTATTTTTTCGAACAGAAACTCATTCAGAAACCACTTTTTGAAATTTAAAAAACAAAGTTTCACATATCACATTTTGATAACATTAGGTAATGCCTGGGTCACATTTGCTCCGATCCATCGGCCGGCGCCCGTCCGATTGAGTGTTTTGTTCATTCAACATTGTTTTCATTTTTTTGAACAAAATACTCAATCGCCCGGGCGCCGTAGTGAAAATCGGAGCAAATGTGACCAAGGCATAAGACTACAATACAGCGGTTTAAACTTTGTATGGGCCTTTAAACATTTTATAACGTATTCCTGGCTATAGGTACATAGTGTAGCACCCCGGGGTAGCGTCCTTACAGAACTTCAGTGTGCAAAGTATGTGTTTGATGCATTGGCGTCCCCCGGGGGGGGGGGGGGGGGCATTCTCAGGAGAACTCGTTAATTGGTACTGAGGAAACTCGGAGGATCATGTGCCCTGGAGAATGAGGTGGAGAAGCGAAAATGAATCAACAGCGAATAAAATGAGATAAAAAGTTGCATTTGATTTCTTGGATTTGCAAACAATATAAAATGTTAAGACTTCGTATGAAACAACCTCTTTCTGACAATCAGCAAAATAATCTAGAACATGATATTCGAATTGAGACAATTTATCAAAATGTTCAGAAATGCTTTCATCCACTTGTATCCACTGAATGATATCAAACATAAAAGTTCAGGCCTAAACACTTCCATTTTTGCAGGTGGTAAATTGATGGTGAAACTTCCAGTGTGACTTGGGGAAGGTATTACACTGTGAAAAACAACAAAACATGTTTTCCCCTATTTCATTTTTTCTATTTTTAACTGTCATGACATTGACACAACACAAATGTTACAAAAAAAATGATTAAAATAAATTATGAAATGCCATTAATAAAATCATATTCCTTTGCAGATAGAGATTATCTACAGTAATATAAGGTTAGGGATATTAAAATTAAAAGGATTATAATTATTAAAGCCAGAATAAATAGGTAATTTCTACAATTATTGACTCTATTGAACTATCTGAATTTGAAGCATTATCCAAGACTTTTCAAACAATGTCAACTTTCCTCGAAATGTATCTACAAATAACACATACTACTAATAGGATAAACAGATCATCTTATAGTCTGTTTAGGATATTGGGATTATCCCTCGGCCAATGCTGTCCTTTAAACCTCTGACCCTCATGCAGATATATTATATTGACCTGATTGGAAGTCTCTAATTGGATTGTGAAAGACTGTTTATGGTTGAATATAATTTCGTTTCTCAATTACAATGACCCAGAAATTTATGACTTTGATAATTTTTGGCAGACAAAAACAGGGTAACACATGATCAGAAAACGTCAAGTTGCCAAACTTTTATGGGGAGTGTATGTACATGTACAATACAATGAATGTAATATCTAATATCATATGATTTTGAGTAATATTTTCAATGAATTGATATCTTTATTAGTATATCAATTGGAGAGAAAGATAATGATTCAAAACAATACACAGTAAAACCCAAAGAGTGGAACACCTCTGTAAGTTGTTCACTTCCAAAAACAAGTACATGTAGAAGACTGTTCTAAGATACCAAAGGTGTTTCACTTGCACATTTCAAATTACAAAAATTGTTACATTCTCATAATATGGAAATAAAATTTAGAAATTACAATGATGAAAATATTCAAAACATAATTCAAGTGTTAATATTGAGAAGTGATATCCCCTCGCCTGTATGCTGAAAGCTACTGCTAAAATAGGAGGAATTATGTTCAAATGTAAAAGAGGATTTTCATATATGAAACTTAATCTTTAACTAAGCAAATTATAGGGGCAGGTTCTTTTTTACGAATATGCGTCTTCAAATGCTTTTTTAAATTAGACCGCAATGTAAAATGCTTGTTACATATTTCACATAAAAATGGCTTCTCGCCAGTATGGACAGGTTTGTGTTTTTTAAGTTCATCCTCAAGCGCAAATGTTCTGTGGCATTCTTGACATTGAAATGGCTTATCTCCAGTATGGATTTTTACATGTGCTTTCAAATGACTCGATTGCATGAATGATTTATTACAAATATCACATTTGAAGTTTTTTTCTCCAGTGTGGATCATTAAATGCCGTTTCAATGTCCCAGCTTGTGTGAAGTGTTTTTTACATTGTAAACATTCATAAAAAACACCTTCATGTATTTTAATATGATTTTTCAAATGTCTTGGATCGGCAAAGCATTTATCGCACAGATCACATTTTAGTGATTTTACTTCCAAGTGTGTTAGTTCATGTCTTTTTAGATCACCAGTGCGTGAAAAAGATTTTTGGCATTTGGAACATTGATATGGTTTTTCACCAGCGTGAATGATACGTTCATGTGATTTCAAATGACTTGCTTGTGAAAAGCAACTATCACATTGTCCACACTTAAATGGCTTCTCGCCAGTATGAGTTCTGTAATGTGTTTTCAAGATACTCATTTGGAAAAAGCCTTTATCACATATGGCACACTTGAACGGCTGTTCTCCTTTGTGATGATTTTCATGTCTTTTTAGTAAGCTTGATTGGGCAAACATTTTATCGCAATACATACATTTGTAAGGCTTCTCTCCAGTATGGATCCTCTGATGTTCCCGGCAATTCCCTGCTTGGGAGAAGGTCTTAGAGCAGTAAGAACACTGATAAGGTTTAATACCCATATGGGTCCTTTCATGTATCCTCATAACAGATAACTTGTCAAAACTTTTATTGCAATACTGACAAATAAACTTTTTAATTTCCATGGATGTGTTTAAGTTTGAAGTCGAAGAAATCTCTAAAAAATTTGAGTTTGAGAGACCTGAATTCTCCTCGTCTGCTACTTCTTCAACAAAATTTGAGGTTGGGGAATCTCCCTGTCCCAAATTTGAGGATGCACGCCCATCTTTTATATTTGAATTCGTAAAGTCTTCACCACTATCTGTATTATTCCTTTCATATTCATGTTCTTTATCAATACTTGGATCATCGCCTTCGTTACAAAACTCAGCTCCATTATGGTCATCTGGTTCAGTCTTGATATCAATATCATATTCAAATGCTCCACTTTCATTATCTATTTCATAGTCTTGTTCATTTTCAACATAGTCCTGTTCATTATCAACACTGTCTTGTTCATTTTCAACATTGTCTTGTTCATTTTCAAAACTGTCTTGTTCATTTTCAACATAGTCTAGCTCATTTTCAACATCATTTTGCTCATTTTCAAAATTGTCTTGCTCATTTACAACATAGTCTCGTTCATTTTCAACATACTCTTCTGGTTCACTTTCGACATCAACATTGTGTTCGATTTTCATAATTTGTGTTACTTCATCAGGTGTAGGTTCAATATAATTCATTCGGTCATTGTTTATATCAACATTGCGTTCACTTTTCATATTTTCATTTTGTGTAATATCATAAGTAATCTGATCAACACACTCCTTTGGTTCCTTGATATCAACATCTTGTTCAATTTCAATACTGTTATGTAGCTTCACATCATCTTCAAGAGATTTGATTTCAACATTGTCTTCATTTACCTTACACTGTGTATAACTTTTTTGTTCTTTTTGGGTGTCAAAATTAAATTTATGAACTAATGATTCATTATGGGGTGCACAATATAATTTAAAACATTGTTCTTTTTTTGAGTCTATGTTTTTTACCTTTTGAGTGTCCCAATATGGTTCATTTTGAGTGTCACGATATGATTCATTTTGTATGTTATAATATGGTTTCCTTTTTACACGACATTGTCCATTCTGTGTGTCGCAATATGATTCCTTTTGGGTCTCACTATTTAGTTCAACATTCTGAGTGCAATATTGATCATTATGCGAACCAGATGTTAGTTCATTTTTCATATGAATGTGACTTGATTCATCATACCTCTCTTCCTTTGATTCAGTTGTGGCATCCATATTTTTGGGTTCTGATATTTTTGATTTACCCATGTTTATGTCTTTTAAGTTTGTTATGCTTTACTCAGCAATGTTTCAACATACTGTTGTTACCACATGTTCCTTATCACATTATTATATACTAAAATGTGTGTGTCCCATCACAATGTTAGCATCATGCGATACAGTCTTTGTTGGTGTCTCATCATGTCATCAATTGTTTATTTCATGTGCCTTAATGTTGGTGTCTCAAAATATTTTTAAAGTACTGAAGGAGCTACTTTGTTGATGATGTGGTAAATCCTTTATGGCGACGCTGCAATTGCGTTGTTGGGATGACAACTGGATACTGTGATGCCGGAACTGAAAGTAAACAAATTTTAATTTTTAAATCAAGTGTTCATGGTAATTTTGATCAATGAATAATCTTTCTTACCTATGTTCACATGTAATTGATGTTCCCTTAATTATGAATAAAATAATACTAAAGGTATTATCACTGCTCATTCTGAATCTAGTCTAATGATAATATACATGTATATGTAACTAATGATAATATAAACAATATAAAATTAATATTAAATTATTGCAAATAGTTATGAAATGTTACAAGTCCACTTATTTATTGACATGGTAACAGGTATTGGCAGAAATGTGTTAGAACTCATAACATGATTCTATATGTCTGTTCACAGTTATGATTTAACCTCTTGAATCCCAGGTTCTAAAATAGGTTGAAACCAGATAATTTTTCATTTTTGACAGCTTTTGACATTTTACTACATACATACACAACAGATGATGTTCAATTTAGTTAAATTAGATGGAGGAGATCATTTCTAGACATTTTGAAACAATTTTTGTGTAAATTGGATAAAAATTGTTCAAGTAAGAGCAATTTTAGTGAACAATTTTGTGACGGATTATCTCATCACTCTGGGTTTCAAGGTCATTTCTGAGGTGACAAGAAATCTCGTCACTCTGGGTAGTCAAGAGGTTAAAGTACTTTTTAAACAATACTTATTAGTTATTGGAAGTTGTAAGAATTTGTTACAGACACAACACCGAAAGGGTTAGATACTGGGAGGTTTTGGATACAGGGCTTATCCCAAGGGAAATATGTGAATCTCTCGAGGGACAGCAGGGACCGAGGGAGATACACATATTTTCCAAGGGAAATTTGATTGATTTGAACTGATTTCTTGAAGCGATCTTCAAACTTTGCAAATCATTTACTGAACGAACCATGACAATGTGAGGAACTACACACAGGTTATTAACTTTTCCGAGCCATACGCTATCATCTCACGGAAATTTTGTGTGCTTCGCGAAGCGGGTCCACTTGAAAATATATTTCAACAAATCATGATTTTTCGATCGAATTAGCGCAATTACATCTTGTTCAACAACTAATATGTGGTAAGTTAAACAATTTATCATATTATATCATATTGGGACAAAAATATTGCACATAATAACTGAAGATCAAAAGAAATCAACTCTAAATTAGCCCTAAGTTAAATTTTTCATGTTTTCTGAAGATACAAGAAATTATTATGGTAACACCCTCGCCCTTTATGATACTATTTAAACTCCAGGAGTCATTAGAAGTTGGGCAGCCCCACCTATGACCAGTGGAATGGTTCTTAACCTAAGTAAATTGGGCTGGGTAGAATTTACCTTATTCTTCGACCACAGTGTAGCCTTATGCTTATTATGAAGCCCTGTTTGTTTTATTACTTTTTACGTTATATCACATGGTCTGTTGCTATTAAACTAAAATATAATAAACATACCTTCATTGAACTTAGAATGTAGTTCATATGTCCATCTACATCGACTTTTATTCAGTGTCAGTCTTTTCTAAGAGTGGTAATTTAAAGGCAAATTCAAAACAAAAGAGTGTCTTATTTATATTCTACATGTATGGCCACACTCAGTGGCCATAGGATATGGTAAGCCAAGATCACTCACAGGTGCTCCCTGGGTAATAAGAGTATCAGGCTTCCCTCTAAGTAAGTATATATATTTGATATACTTACTTAGAGGGACGTCTGGCACTCTTATTACCCAGGGAGCACCTGTGAGATCACTAGATTGAAAAAGATCTAAAAACAAAAACAGAAAAAACAAAGAAAAAATAAATGCATTTACTAAGCGTGCTTGTGTTAATCCCACACTGCCCTCCAAGCTCATAAACAAATAGGTATGCAGTAAAATTTACCTTTCCTCTGTAGGCTTGGAATATAAGGCGTAAATCGCACCATTACCTGAATATTTCCACCAAATATATTTTTATTTTGTTCCAATATGTCAGCTTCCGGTTTAGTTTCACAATAGTTCGTTCAGTGCTATCCTATGTAAGGGCTGTCCCGGTTTTAATGAGTTTGGACTCTTAATGAGTTATTCGAGTTTGGTCCAAAAAACAGCACAGTAGAAAAGTTGAATAACTCCACAATTTTGCATATTCTGCCTTGAAATTACAGAATTATTAATAGTTCATTCAATGTGAGTTTTGTTGTGAATGAGTTTATAAATCCAAGGGCATTCATATTTGTCCTCTTTGGTCCAAAAACCGTCCAAAAAGTCAAAATTAAACTGCATGATTTTGATTGTATGTTCACGGGCTTTCAACTAGAATTGAAAGCCCATCATGGTATGTTTAACCACTAGCCCGGGGATATAGCATTGGTCCAATAGCCTACATCAGTGTCCTTAGAGAGGTCAAGTGCTTGCCAAGTCGCTGTCACCACCTGTCATTTGTTACAGAAGCCTGTTACAGACGCCGAAAATGACCGAACTTTCGTGCACAAAAAATGATCATTCCCTTTGCACAGTGGGCCAAAATCGGTATCTCAAGAGTAAAGTCTTCATCACTCCTACAATATTGAGAAAGAATCACCAACAGGCTATTCTTCTCAGCCTGGAACCCACAGATGACTCAAAGAGCTCTGCAGGACATGGTGTGAAGAGCCAATCTAGTGCAAAGAATGACGGTGGCCATGTGAAGGGATTTGAGATGAATTCTTGCACTGGTGTTTGCAATGTCTAGCCGATTTGTGGCAATTGTCCAAAAGGAATGATTATTCAGCCAACCATGACTCTACATATCATTGGAAAGAGGAGAAATGTAGCTTCGTGCAGTGAAATCAATACAATCAACACATTTTCTTTGTCATGTTCTGCACCGGGCCCATGCGCCGACTTTTCCAATGCCGAAAACTTGGTCCAAAACCAAAGGCCCACTACAAAAACAATGATAATTCAGCCTACCATGACCCTGTGTGAATAAATGGCATATCGTTGGAAAGAGGAGAAAGTGGCTTCACGGAACATCAAATTAAATAGATACAGTCATCACTAGTTTTGTTTATTTGTTTTGTTGCGTTTAATACGCACTAAATGCACATACTGTACATGTGGTGTACATGTGGATTCTTCAAAGACGCCTTAGAAAATTAAAACTGGAAATTAAAAAAAAACTATCCGTTTCTGTAAATTATTTCTGAAGCGATTTGAACTTGTTTCAAAATTTGCTGGATTAACAGTGTTTCTTGAGAGAGGGTATTGACATTGACAAAACGCGGTTCAACCGGTTGTGCCTTGATAGTGACTGCCTTTGATTGTGCTTGATTGATTGTGCCTTAACACATAATGACTCGCATTGATTGTGCTTTAAAATCATTGTTTCGAGATCAAGAACAACTGCCCTTGATTGTACTCAACTACGATCAAACTCCTTGACCGCACCTTTACAGTGGGCAGGGTACATTGATAATTTAATAGTCAGTTGTAATGCAATGAATCTATCTCTTTGTACTTGTCAGATTGTGCTTCAATTAATATGGTGTGTCCTTCATTGTGTTTGGTTCTCCCCTTAGTGTCTGGCTGTGCTTCAGTAAGGAAAGGGCCATGGCTGCTTGATTATATGCTACGAGAGATTGTGCCTCAATAAAAATGTTTATGCTCGAATGTGCTTCACATCTAGAATGACTCCTTTTAATTGTGCTTCACGTACATGTATTCCGCCTCAATCTAGAACGACTCCCTTTGATTGTACTTCACTTATTCTGCCTTAATCTAGAATAATTAATTTTGATCTCTGCCTCGATCTAGAATGACTCATTTTGATTGTGCTTCACTTATTCTGCCTCAGTCTAGAATGACTCCTTTTGATTGTGCTTCGCTTATTTCACCTCAATCGAGATTCTAGAACGACTCCCTTTGATTGTACTTCACTTATTCTGCCTCAATCTAGAATGACTCATTTTGATTGTACTTCACTTATTCTGCCTCAGTCTAGAATGACTCCTTTTGATTGTGCTTCACTTATTCCACCTCAATCTAGAACAACTCCCTTTGATTTTACTTCACTTATTCTGCCTCAGTCTAGAACGACTTCCTTTGATTGTGCTTCCCGTGTTCTGCCTCAATCTACAATGACTCCTTTTGTTTGTACTTCACTTATATTGCCTCCTTCAAGGATGTTTAATAGGTCTTGACTGATTGTTCATCAATAAAGAAAGGTTATTTTTTAATTGTGCTCAATTATTTGGGCCATGGTAAAGAATGGTAATTGGCCTCTACTTATAAATTGTGTCTCAATAAAGAATGCCAATCTTTGTCGTAGTTGACTGATTGTTTTCCCTGTACCTTACTAATATAATTTAACTGTAGATCGTGCCTGGCTGCTTTAGCCTCAAAAGCATAGGCCAAGGGAAAAGTAATAGTAAGCTGTATATAGAAGAGACAGGTCCACAAGTAAGATTGAAAATTTTTCAAATTTTTTTAGTCTTGGCACTAGTTCTCCTTACTGGTATCAAATTGTATTCCCAAATCTCTCCAAAATCTTCTTCAAAGTGTTTTTCAAACTTATATCATTGTTTTTTTTCAAATATTTATGTAAAAACTGCATATAATACTGCATATAAAACAACAACTATGGATACCTGCAATTGCCTGGCAAGCTGAAACTGATTGTCACTGGTGGAGGTCAGGGAGGTCAGCAGTGACCAATCAGATCACTTGTTTACTAATGAACTTGCCAAGCAATTGTAGGTTTTCAGAAATTCTCTCTTTTAGACAGCATTATTCACTCTATATCATCTGACTGAGTTTCAATCTTAGGTAAGAGCTACAAACTATCAATTTTCTATCAACTCCCCATGGGTTTTTGAAAATAATACACTAAATATTGTTGAAATCTCCATCTTAATAAGTGGTCTAAGTCAGAGTTGTTCACCTGTCTCTTCTATATACGGCTTACTATTACTTTACCCTTGGCCTATGCTCAAAAGAATGGTTGTCCTTGGTAGTTTTGAGCTGATTTGCATGATCAATGTTACATTATTTGATTGTGCTCAACTGACTGCCTCAATGAAAAACAATTGTCCTTTAATTGACTGAGCTTGAAGAATGACCATACTTGACTAAACTCAACTTGGGTATGATTTATCTTGGGTATGAGTCGTCTTGGATATCAGTTGTCTTGGTTATGAGCTGACCAGTTACCCTTGATGGTTGTCTTGGGTACGAGTTGACCAGTTACCTTTGATGGTGCTTGACTGACCAATGAAGGATGAGTGTGCTTTAAAGCCTAAATGGACAACAGTTAATCTTAATTGTACTTGAAATTTTGTGCATTGATGTTGAATGGCTCTCCTCGCTTGCATTTGAAATATACATTGAACTGAACATTTTGCAAGATGGTAGAGTTGAGCCATAACCAAGTAGTCACAATTTACCCCATAAATGTAGGGACAGTTTCAAAAGCTCGTCTTTTTTGATTATTTTTGAATCTTCAAAAGGTCATTTTGAGAGTCAAAAAAATAATAAAAAAGACAAAATAACCTCACATTTATGGGGGTAATTCAATTGGGGGGGGGGGGGGGGGGGACACAACGGCCATGACAAGAAAAAAATGCTTATTCGTACAAAATTGACAGGATAACTCATACACTGTATACTGCTAGCTTTTATTCTACAAATCCAAACCTCAAGTGTTTACAAAATAATCATTCGATAATACACACATCACATGTATTGATCATTTCATTTTGATGCAATCAATATACAATTTCTAAACATCCTGTTAACATCCCAGGATGCAACACTAAAATAATCAACCTTTTATTTCATGAGAAACGTCATAAAATTGACAAAAAATTATCAAGTGACAAAAAAGTCCTATATCATAATTGATTTTGTATAAATGTATAATAACACTACATCACAAATATTACACTGTTTATTTTTAATCACAATAAATCTATCACTTCATGTTACCTGCATCGTAAATTTGTTTCCGATGAAAAATCACAATGGTTTGCTAATCAAAAATGTTGGTGTGAAAAATCAATTTTACAAAAATAGAAAAATTCAAATGTGAACAATTAGGAAGACAATCTGCAAAAAATACACACACATTTTCTGCTAAAAATATTTTATCAAACTTGCAATGCTGTTTTTAGACCAAATCAAAATACTGACTGAATTGTCCTTTTGGGGAGTTAATAAGAGCTTAGCTTATATGAGCTTAAGCTCAAATTAAGATCCACACAATCTGTTATTGCCTAAGTATATTGAGGAAGCATATGGTAGATAATATTAATACAGGGTGTCACTGTCACAATATTACACTTTTTAGGGACACCTTGTAGTAATATTAAATATTACATTTTCTATCACATATGGGTGTACTGCTTTTATAACCACTCTAAGAACATTAAAAACTTTGTTAACGGGACACTAGTGTTCAATTCACCATACAGCGGTCAAGTCTAGATAACTAGTAAATGTTTATGGGATTTGTGTAAATGTGTTCCACTTATGGATGTGTTCCACTTAATAGGTTCTATTGTATCATATCGTATCAAAACTGCTTGTGCATGTAATGCCATACTAATTATGTGTGTGTACATAGACATACCATACATATGCCATACTAAACTACATGAGTGAACATACACCACACTAGTCAGTTAATATCTAGATTCCTTGTATCGAGTTGAGTTAAACAACTGTTTTACTAAAAGTCTATAATTCAAAACTTGACAACAGAAATCTCAATCTTTTAATTGTGACCATGTTTTGTATTTGTGATCATGTTTTGTATTTTCTTCACACAAATCTAGTCATGCATTACAACATTTTGACCAATCATGCCTGCTTTAACATTTGATAAATCCAAAGAAATTGCAAATTGATGAATATGCATAAATTGAAAATTCTTCAAAAAAGCATAAAGTCAGAAACTTAAGATCTGTGGTTCAGAAAATAGAACTTTGCAATTCATGAATTTACTCACTGTATATTTATTCAAATTCAGTTCAAATCACGATCAGTGAATTCATTTTCATTTTTTGACTTCATATTTTTTGGCATATGTGAAGATGTAATTATCACTAGATTAAATATAACGATCAATGATTTTCCTAGTAAATCTGGGCCTTACAGTTTCACTTTTCATTTATCACTAGATTAAATATAACGATCGATGATTTTCCTAGTAAATCTGGGCCTTACAGTTTCACTTTTCATTTATTTTTATTTTACCACAAGTAACCATACCAACCATTATTTTTAAGGAAACAATTGTAACCAAATCAAATATAGCTTGGCTGAATATTTATATATTATGCTATTTTTAATATTTACATATCAGTCACCTACTATTTCAGACAAGGCAATATGGCACAACCTGCCATTTTTTACTTTTTTACAGATAGGCTACCGAATGTCACCGCAGCACGCCATGTGTCATAAAAAAGTCAGGAGCATGGAATTTAATCTTAAATCACTAGATAATACACTAATAATAGATATGGCCATTCTCTCTCTTGTCTAAGAGGTTATTTTCAACACTGTTTCTAAACTAAGTGGACTATACAAGGGGCAATCCATATATTCTGATAAAAGTACTTCTATTTCTCCATCATCTTTATATCAGACAATATTGACCACCCCTCGTATAACAGCATATTTTACCACAGGCAGTGTAAATAATGCACCTTGGGTGCAAGTATAGATTTTATATAAATAAATGTTTATTTTCAATTCTGGCTACTGATACTGTAACATGGGTCAATTTGGTGCCCGTTTAATTTAGCGAATTTGCAAAATTTGACAATTTACAAGTACACCTTCACAAGATTTTCGATAAATCCCAGTGAGACACGACATGAATGATGTTGAAAGAAAAAATCTTCCTTACATACAGTGCTGGAAGCCTGAAGAAGTTACAATAAATTGCTTAATTGTGCAGCTGAACTGATGGGAGAATTTCGTATGATTAGAAATGCAGAACCTGAATGGAGCCAAAACTTCAAAATAACATGGGTACCAAATGCCAAAAATCTGAAAATTTGCCAAACTAAATAGCATCAAATTAACTCAAGTTACAGTATTGTAATAATCCACTGTCTTTTTGTACATATTTACATACATTAACATTGAGTTTAATAAACTACATCTGACAAAATATGAGGCTATGATGGCTCAAAATAAATGATAGTTACTAGGGGTGGGTCAGGCGGCTCTTGGGGTGGGTGCCCGCAGGTATTGACCTCACAGGCCTGACCAATGGCTGTCCCACCCTATTTGGAAGTTTTGCGATTCATTCATCGAAAGTCTTAGCAATTACTAATGAAGAAGTCACTAGCTATTGTCATGTTAAGAATTTGAAGTCCACTGTTTTCTTATATCCATTGTAACAGCAATACGAGCTAGTATTTGTAACACATTGCCCCATGTGCAGGTCTGGCTTTCCTCATTGTATCCTCATCCATTCTGACATGTGATCAAAAACATACTATGCCAGAGTTCTGATGTGATCCTACATCATAAAATATTTCCATGATTTTTAGCTATTCTCCATTATCCTCCATGTATCCTCTTCTTACCCCTCACTTTTTCTTTCATTTTGCAGAGTCCTCATGGTTTCTTTCAAACCTTCAGTTTTTACAAAGTCAATTTCTTTATACTCAACTTTCTCCGGGGGACTCACTAGGGGTGGGGAGCGGGTGTGGAGTTTAGGGGAGTGGGAGTCTAGTGCCTCCTGGCACAGGTCGAGATCTAGGTATTGTACCTCCCCCTGAGGGGCGGTGCGGGAACCTGGCAGTAATGGTGATGATCTGGACCCAATATCATACTGAAAAGATAATAAAAAATGTTGTCATACTGATATGTTAATGTGCCATACTGAAATGATAATGTATCAAACTGAAATGATAAAATATTAGCCATTCTGAAATGTTGTTTCATGATTTTTCTCTTTTTCAAATGGGTGCACATTTATTAGCAGGTGGGTGCGAGCATGTTTTTAAAATTTCAGGTGGGTGCTGCATCCACTTGCCTTAATGCTGGGGAGATCACTGTATTTAACAGGCTCTAAAATCGGTTGAAAACAAAGGATTTTCATTTTTGCAACAATTTGACTAAATTACTACATACCAATATAACTTTAGATGCTCAACTTAGTAAAGATAGCAGAGATCATTTCTACACATTTTAAAACAATTTTTGTGTAAATTGGACGAAAATTTACAAATAAGAGCAATTTTAGTGAAAAATTTTGTGACGGATATTCTCGTCACTCTTGGTTTCAAGGTCATTTCTGAGGTGACGAGAAATCTCGTCACTCCAGGTAGTCAAGAGGTTAATAATTACCGAGGATGGATCAGAGGAGCGACCACTTCCAACGCTGGAACTTTCATCGTCCGATTCTGAACTGGATTCATCATTGGTTAGATGCATTTTTGAGGGCAGTACAATCCTAGAAAAATAGAAATCATTATTTTATGTTTCATCTATTTCAACATGAGAATATGCTACAGTAAAACCTGTACATCCAAACACCTCTCTAATCTGAACACTCAATATAAACACCTTTTTGAGTTACATTTTCCATTCATCTATTACACACGATTGTAGATTGCTAGGGAAATCTTCCAATATCACACCGGAATACCCTGACAACCGTAAAGTCAGATACTGTTGTCACAAATGGCGGCCACTATGGGTTCGTATTAATTATGAACTGCTTGTTTAATTAAGCACCTAGATTAAATTCCTTTCGTAGAACAATCAATAAAGAGTTGAAGTGACGGTTACATCCGCCATTTGTGACGGTATCTGACTTTACGGTTGTCAGGGTGTTCCGGTGTGAATATTAACACTTTTTGCGTGTCCAAGTCATATTGTTAATACTGTTAATACTGGCAGCTGCAAATGCAAGTTTTTGTCCGAGAATAGAATGAAAAAATTGCTTTTTATATTCTAACAATGACATAACAATAAATAAAAGATACAGAACTCAGACACAAAGCTCTATCAAAGCGGGGAGGTGGTCTAATCAGGCCTTCTTTAATTAAATTTTGCATGGTCTAATTTCGACTCTCTCCCCGGGGGTAAAACAAAGGCAAACAACATACCTGTTATTTGATGGTGGAATCTGAGGAACGGGTACACTTGGTTTATTCTTGCGGAAACTCTTTGATGTATCTCTTGATTTGATTGAAAAGACTTCCTCTGTAATACTCCTCACGTTTTGACCTAAAAGAAGAAGATATATACCCAAAATAGGATTAAAGTAGATCTGAATAGATGAGATTATTTATGCAGATTCCATGACTAGAATTATTAATACTTATTGAACTACCCCAAATCCACACTTTAAAATCATTGTATCATACAGTACATTAAGAGAATGGTAGAATACGGTACTGTTTGAGTATGATGTCATATTCACTGTTCGTGGTACTGTTTTAGGCTATGGTACAGTATAGTACCCACCCTATGCAGACAGAGCCTGTGGGAAATATTGGGTGCGGAGCAAATGAGCGGAGGGTGCGGAGCTAACGGTCATTTTTGAATTTAAATTTGGGATATTTCTGAAACTAAGCCGTTTTGGGACTTCAAATATACCAAGATACGTGTATTTGACACCAAATATCAATACAATTGTGAAAATAGTAGCGCAATTCATTCTATAGCGACGCAGTGTGCCTTAAACCTTTCCCAGACCTATATATTTTGAAATTATCCTTTTAATACTGAGTCCCCAGCATTCATAAAAAATGGTGTTCAAGGTACACTATCTATACAAATTATTTTTGCATCTTGGAAGCCAGGCAGTATCTGTGTGATTTTATAAAAATTCGGAAATGTTTTTCAGATATGAGCCCCCTCTAAATATTGGGTGCGGAGGAGCTCCATAAACGTACCTCCGCACCCAATATTTAGAGGGGGCTCATATCTGAAGAACATTTCCGAATTTTTATAAAATCACACAGATACTGCCTGGCTTCCAAGATGCAAAAATAATTTGCATGGGTAGTGTATCTTGAACACCATTTTTTATGAATGCTGGGGACGCAGTATTAAAAGGATAGTCTCAAAATATATAGGTCTGGGCAATGTTTAAGGCATACTGCGTCGCTATAAAATGAATTGCACTACTATTTTCACAATTTTATTGATATTTGGTGTCAAATACACATATCTTGGTATATTTGAAGTCCCAAAACGGCTTAGTTTCAGAAATATCCCAATTTTAAATTCAAAAATGACCGTTAGCTCCGCACCCTCCGCTCATTTGCGCCGCACCCAATATTTCCCACAGGCTCTGTCTGCATAGGGTGGTACCATATCTAACGTATTGTACCATATTTCATGGTACCGTGCAGTACCGTAGCCAAAATAATATACGGTACTGTTGGAGATTGCAATACTTGATAGAATTCATGATTCAAAATCAAAATAATCAAATTGTTGAAATATAATTTCATCATCTTTTGATATCAGCTTTCTTAGGACTTAATAACGTTTAGGATAGGCAGAGTACATAAGTAATCTGGATAATTTAGGAAGAATGCAGCTGAATTTATGAGGAATCTGGTCGATTAACTGTTACCTTTTACATTTGTTGTCTTCTTTTAATAGACAGTGACTATGAGATATTGACCATGGTTATTAATGAGAACTTACGTCTTTGTGATGGGCTCATGTTTTGTGGATTTTTGCGTTTAAGATTTCTGTCGATACGTGGTGGCGGTGTTCCCGCACCTGTGGGTGAGTTCCATCCACTACCTTGTGGGTGGTTTGTTAATGTGTGGTCTTTTCCCGAAACTGATTCACTCAGATTTAAATACTCCACTTGGTCAGGGTCAGAAGTCATGTAATCGAGACCTAATTCTCTGCCTTGTGATTGGACGGGAACTGCTTGATCGAGAGTGTTCCCTGTTCCCATTGGAAGATACATATCATCGTCATTTTTGGCGAGGGAAGGTGACTGGATGAAACCAGGAGATTGAACAAATCCAGTGGCTGCGTTTATATAAGAATGTTTCACGCTACCTCCGGGACAAGGAGCGGGTAACGTCGAATTGAGAATATCATCAAAGCCTCCTTTGCTATTGGCTAAGTCTGGGTTCGGGCTCGGGACAACCCCACTGGATGCATTCACATATTTATGCACTACAGTTTGACAAGGGGAGGGAGGTGGGAGAGTTTTGAGTAACAGTTGATTCCTATTAATATCCTGTCCAGATTCTGTTTTGTTTTCGAGTTGTTTTGGGATAGAATATATCTCGTCAAATTCTCCTTGACCTTCAAAATCAGGCGATTCAGGTGTTACCGAGTAAAATGAGGGTGATTCGGATGATGGCGAATATACAGATGACATTGAGGGTGGTTTTGTACCACGATTGATAGATGGCGGGCCACTACTTTCTCCATATTTGGAGTTTCTTGGTCTAGGAACAGGTGAATCAACAAACTGGTGACCAGAAGTCGGAGGGATATCATATATATCCTGTTCACTTGCTCGATCACTATTTCTCTTTCTCGTAATTTCAAGTTCTCGAAATGACCGTTCAATCTCCTTAGGGGAGTAGTGTGTAGGTACAGGATCGTATATATCATCCGTAGCATATCCTTGATCAATTGGCTTGTTATGACTACTTGTCGATGACCCAGAGTCTCTATTATAGGGGGAGCCACCAATTAATGGCTGATTTGATGGTGGTGCCATATAGACATCGTCTGATATAGGTTCATTATTTGGCGGGGCTTGATATATATCATCATCGCTAACAGGTCTTGTTTTTCTGTTGTTGTCAGTTGGGGGGAGAATATCATACATACTTGTAGGCTGGAATGACCCTATATTACGTTGTGTATGACCTGAGGGTGGTGTGTCATAGACTGACCCTTGAGTCATGGCTCTCTGTGGGGTATTCCTTGGGGGTGGGGGTGTGTCATATGTACTTCTTGGGGGCATGTCATAAGTACTTCTCGGTGCTTCTGCATCATAAGTACTTCTAGGAGGTGTATCATAAGTGCTCCGAGGCGGAGTATCATATGTTGATTTGTAAACAGATTTCGTCCCAGGGGGCGAATCATAAGTCATACGTGCAGCAGTGGAATGATTTGGGGGTAGATCATATACACTACCATGTTTTTGAGCTGACCCAGTTGGCGGGACATCATAAATAGAGTCCATAGTCCCTCTATTGGGTTTATTGTGAGCTACGTGACTCGTACGAGGCATGTTATACGTGGAGTATGTAAAAACATTCTCCTCAGCTGTCTTTTTTGGCACCTTATATGTATTCTCCGGCTGTATGTGCAATTCCCGCTCATTTTGTTGGTACATAGTTCCCCCACTAGGGGAGCTGGCAACAAGACCCGCAGGCTGTTCTAAGCGGAAAGATTGTTTTGGCGTCAATGGCGGTGGTGGGGGTGGGGATTCGGGTATACTTTCCTGGCTCTTGGATTTACCAAACTTACCCCCCCTTCCAAGATCTGTAACGTCTGGTTTGTCTTTATTTCCACTATAACACTCATCTAAGTGAATATATCCCTCCTTTGACTTTTCCGAAATATTATCGGGCGAGGTTTGCTCGTCCGATTCATCTCGGAATACACTAACCCCACTTGTCGCGCTCAGATCACTCAGGCTCTGTTGACTCGTATATGGTGCCTGCTCACGAAATGTATCTGGTGATATTGAGATATCATGTGGTTGAGGTGAGTGATGGTCACGGTGATTTTGGCTTGTGATGCCGTATGAGTCGTTTCTTTCAGGCGGTGTTGGAGGTGGTAGACTGGGTGACTGGTTGTGCACCATGGAGATATCTGTTGCACCTGGAAGTACAAACCTTATTTATTACATTCATTCTACCATTTGCATTTGTTCGACTTAGCAATCTTAAAACAGAGCTTCATTGCAGTTTGTAAATAGACTCTGTGTACAGTGTAATTAATTTCAGGTACAGTATTGACCAATTGCCAATCTTGGTAAAAATTTGCCATACATAATAATACTGTGGATTTTTGACATCTTTAATACATGAGGGCTTATTAGAATTTAAAATGGCTTTAAGGAGGTATTTAGAATTTTTTAAGTGGCCACTTGAATGCTAATTACAGAAAAACATGGTAGTTTAAATTATATCGTAACCTATCCCTGGAGTAAGTTATTGGTCAAACTTATCACCACCAAACTTTCCAAACTAATGTTGAATGATGACAAGATGTCACTTCCTGGTTACAATCACAAGTGTGACAATTGTTACAGATGGCAACACCGACATCGAACGGCACTTCTTGATGGTGGCATAAAATAATTTTATTTTTAACTTACCAGGAATCTCTTCTTCATCATCTTCCTTTAAGCCACATACACAGCACAGCCGATTAACCCACTCATTCATTTCTGCTTCAGTTTCCGCGGCCAAGAAATAAGTCCGGTTTTTATTGCGATGCACACTTTTAATAGAAAATAAAAAGCAATATTCCGTTGAGTCTAAAGATGCGATGACCTGCTCGCATTGTTCAAGGTCGATACTGCCATATTGTTTCTTCCGTGTTTTGTCTTTATAGTAGTCAAGTGCGAAGTGTCCCGGAAGACTCCCAGAGGGTTTGTATAGAATGAAGTATCTTCGTTGCCATTTCTGGAATTACAAAATAAGAATCATTATATCAGCTATTACAAAGTGACAAACAATTATATTCATGAATTGTTGTATTTCGTGGAAAAATGTATGAATCACTTAAAGTTGAACTGGAGTAATTCCCAATGTGTACATGTATGTTAGCCAGAAATACCGGTATATGTAATGTTTTTATGTTTACTTAATAAACTACCATAAATCAAAATCCTAATTGAAAAATAACTTGGATATTATATTCAGCAATTGATCCACTGTGATCCTGCTACCACTCAAACTGGCATCGAAGTTCAAGATCAACAAGATCAAAAAAAGATCAAGATCAACAAGAGATCACTTGAAATAATTTCCTAAAATGCTGAAATAAAAAGTGAGCATGATCCGCATTGAAAACCTGACATCTACTGACATGATGTATGACATCTACTGACATATATGATGTCATGACATCAGATGATAATTACAGATATCAAGGATATCCTGTAATTATAAAGCATAATCTTCCTTACAGTTATGGTTTATCTTGTCCCTTAGGATATCATATTTATATTATGACATTATCTATTTTTAAAGGAAAACATTGCGATCTCTTCCTCTCTATTATCTGTTATTATTTTAAATACTTGTCACATATTTGACATTTTATAACTTAATAGTTGCATTTTTGTTCCTTTTACTAACTATATTGCAAAGCTTAAAATGTCTAGCAACATTAAAATCAGTAAGTGATATGAAAATATTATGCATCTTCCTATATTCCGATACATGTACAAATGTATATCTAATTTCCCTCATATATTAGAAATCATTATTTTCAGGGTTTGGCCTCAAATATTTTGTCCTTGATCTCATGGGATTAATCTAATAGCTCAAAACTTTCAAAATCAACTAAAACTTAATAATAAAAACCTGGTAGGAACATAGCTTATCACTTTGTCACATTCCCAGCACCTTAAGCTATAATTTACAAGCTAATTTCTTGCAGAAGCTAATAGACTTGTATTCTCAATTAAGGATGGCGGAGTATGAACATTTTAATACCAGTTTGACTGCCTGGAACCAGTTTGCCTAACCATGAAAATTAAAGTTATTTATTTTACCAGACTCACCTAAAGACAACACATAATGCAGATGTACCAAAACAGATCATAATATTTAGATATTTCAATCGTATAGACCCCTAGGTGTATCTCATATGGAAATTATTTGTTATGATTTTCCCACCTTAAGACAACACATGAAACAGATGCACCCAACATATCATAATATTTAGATATTTCTCTGAAAAACTCTTTTAGATCCCTTAAGGTATACATTTTTTGTTATGCTTTTCTCACCTTAACATACCAACAAAATAATATATGGTATACAGCAGATGGACCCTAACAGAGCATATTTACATTATTGTAGCTTCTTCGCCTCCAGGTATATCTAAAGTGAGGCCAGGCATGTATTATTAATCGATGTATAGTTTCTCAAGATTGTTGGAACCTCAAAAAAAATTTCATTTACCCAGCACATTGCTTGTGGTGCAGCACAGAGATAAATTTGCGCCAACTATGCACCAATTTCAATTGTTGCACCTACCTAAACTTAGTACAAATTTGATTCCCAGTGCACCTTCTTTTGTAGTGAACCACCCAAATGAACTTAGATTTGCGCCAATTCATGCGCCTACATCAAGTTCATGATTCCTTGAAACGTTTACAAAAGGTAGCCATTCAAGAGTTAGAAACATGTGTTCCAAGTCATTATGTCACATTTGCATGAATAATTAGTTTGTTTGTTTGAATTAATCAGTCATTATCAACACTGGTGCAGGAAAACCTACATCATAAAAAGAAAATTATTAAAATATATTCAGAAAATTAAATGAACTTGAATGTTTTGAATTTTCTATTAAATCAGCGGCTTATATGTGAGAAACCATCAATGTTGAAAAATAAATTTCACAAAAAATGAAAATTTCACAGAAATACAAACTAACAAAATAATAAATAATGAGTTTTCTATGATTTTTGGAGAAATCTCACAAAGTGCACTATATATGGTCAAAATTGTTACAGTCCTTTTTTCTCTTATAATCTATGTTTTTTCTTTGTTTTGATAAAATAAATAAATTTCCAGCCTAAGAGACTGTATGGATTGTGCATCTCACTCCCTCTGGTCCAACTATCTCCACTGTTTCCATGTAAGGATATGACCAACTAGACAAGATATCAATATATAAACATGATTTGTTGAGCAGATCTCCAATACCCCATGGGAACCATAACATTCCTGTGCAACCAACATGAAATTGTACTGAACTCCATGGCTTTAAGGCCAAGGTATGGAATTAGTTGGTTAACATCATTAGTTGCCAATATTGAACAAGGCATCAACATGCAAAATGTCACCATCTGCCATTTGTTACAGACATCAAACGCCAAATGCCGGACTCTGAACGCCAACCACCTAACACTGTCTACAAAAAGGTTGGAGACTATAACAATGAATGTCACCACTTGTGATGACATAAAAATAACAAAATTCCACACCATTTGTAAGTAATCAAGCAGTAATATGCAATTCATGAATTTTTGGGACAAATTCAATTTTGAATACGAGATTTTTTGTAGGTTTGTTAATAAGTGATCTAGAAGTTGATTTTAATACAGTATTGTTTTGAGTGCAGAATTGGTTTGAGTACAGGACTGTTTTGAGTATGGTTCTGTTTTGAGTACTTATAAACCAGTTGGTACAACACATTGGAAATAAACTATACTTTTTTGTTTGTGTTCATTGTTTGCCCCTGGTAATTTCAAATTACCCCATGAGTCAAATTAAAGAATTAATTTACTACAAAAATTCCTGAGGAAGTTCATGTCCACCAAATAAAAATAAAATTACAAGTTATTTTCAGTAGTGATCCCCCTGTCTCCCATTAAGGCTAAGTCTGCTATAACTATCAAGAAATTTAGATTATAAGCATAAATTTTATGTTGGTTACAAATCATAAATTCTGGATATTGTCATTTTAATCTCTGACATTTTATAATATTCTTTAGTAAATTTTCGAAAAAAGTAAAATCAAACTATTAGAAAGAGAAATATACTGGGCAGGCCCGTAGACAGGATTTGCCAAGGGGGAGGGTCACTTTTTGAAAAATACCAGGGGGGTTCATTTGTGACAATTTCAGTCCAAAAATGGCCTAAATCACTTGAAAGTGCTCAGAATGGTGAAAAACCACATGATTTTGAAAGCTTTTTTGGCCAGGGGGGAGGGGAGGGGGTTCGAATCTCCCCTGGCTTCGGGCCTGCTGGACCAGTCTGCTATAGCCATTAAGGAATATAGATTACAAATATAGACTTCGTGATGGTTACAGTGCCATGAAATTCCCTTTATAGTTATCTACTCTCTATGAACACTTTTCTCAATGTATCAATTAACTAACACCTTAAAATGAATGAAAACAACAAGCAATGTTGTCCAAAAAATTCTAATTCTAATGACAGTTTTAGAGTTCCTAAAAGAAAAATAACAGCAAAATGCAATTTTAGTAAAAAACAGAAAAAAAACATTTTGTATTCTTAATGAAACTCCTAATGTGTGACTATTGTAAAGGGTCCTATCTAGTTAATATAACATGAAGATCAGAAAACAGATCCCCTAAGTCATGCCAATTTCATGGTCTTTCACACAGGAATGTTGAAAAGTGAAAATAATGTGACTCAAATACTCAAAACATAAGCTGAACTATCCTTAATCTGAAGAAATGATAGAATTAATTCATAATGACATGGCTAAATTGGCAGAACATGTTAATCTGGGGGTCTGTATTGAAAAATGTTTTTACTTAAAAACATCTCATTATTTAGGTAGGCAGGGTTGAAGTTATTTGGTTTTATCAAGGTTGAACTTTTACATGTAGATGTGTACCCAATATACAGTTAGTTTTATATATCACAAATGTGAGTTCAGTGATCTCCCTAGCATTAAAACAAGTTGGCGCAGCACCCACCTGAAACTTTAAAAACAGGCTTACAACCACCCGAGAATTCATTTGCACCAACTTGAATATGAGGAAAATCATAAAAATGTGCATATGTTGACCAATTTTAGTCTGAATTGTGAAAATGATAATTTTGCATTCACTTGAGAAAGGAGCTTTATTTCGACTCTAATTTTGCAATCTCTCATTGACTCACATTAGAAATACCCTTTGTATTCATTTGACTTCACTTCTTAAAAGAGAGCTTCATCTTCAGCCAGACAGCACGCATGGTAATTAGGAAACCTTGAAATGTGAACACCTGCTAATCTGAACACTTTTGGCCAGTCCCACTATGACTTAACATCCAAATTAGACATGTGCAGACTTTTGACAGATTGAATACATAACAGACAGGCACTAGACAGTATAATTTCAATTTGGGATAACTGAATTATTAAAGGATATCAAATACAAAAAATCTTCAAACAGTGATTAATTAAGTACATTATAAAAACACACTTAAAGTTGAATAAAAAATGTGTCTGGTTGTCTGGAATCTATCACAAAAAAACATTCACTTATATATTATAAGAATCGCTACTTTATAATTATGGGTTATAACTAGTTTTGCACTCTAGTCTTTGGTGGTGGAGGTTTCTTTAGATAAGGTAAAGACCAGCCATTAAATTTCAAGTTAGGTTGAAGAGGGTCTGGAAATAAGAACAATGTTTCAGGTATATTAGAATATCCCCCCCCTCCGGATATAATCCCTCCCTCAGGCCATCCCCCTATTTATTTGCATTATCAAACTTGGGGAATAGCTTGATGTGAATGTAGGATGTGCCCCTAAAACCCAAAAGTGGGCCCAAATTTTGAAATTTTGAGGCCCATTTTCTTCAAAATTTGGCCTGAAACTAAAAAATAAGCCCAGTAATGACCGAAAAGGCCCACTATTAGAAGAATAAAACCTTTATTTCAAGTACTTTGGATGTGGTGCTTTTTTCAAAGTGTCATGAGATGAAATCA